GCTAAAGAATTCGCAAATTTGGCTTTCAATGAATTGAAATTCAATCGAAGAGAAAACTTTGAAGGCCAAAACTTTGCCAATTTATTTCAGTTGGCAATGCAAGTGTCTAAGTATGAGCATATACTTAAAGACAGAGATAGAGAGCCCTATGAAGACTTTACACAAAATGTGGCTTTCGTGAAAAAATATGTCACATGATGAATCTGAGCCATAAAATTCAGTAAGGGAAAATCAAATTTATCGATGACAAGGGGCACATGATGACTCATGTTTATCTAATTTAAAAGAATTGAATGATTTATGAATCATTTAGATCTATTAAAGGTGGCATATGTTGACACCCCAAAAATGATCCATGAATCATATGTTGATAAGTATCAGACTTAGTCGATAAGAGTAGAGTTTGGTCAACAATAAACAAAACAATCAACAACTTGATGGGATCGACAACTCGTTAAGCAAATCATCGACAACATCAGTTATCAACGAAAGCCTTCATCAAGACTTGAGAAGTTAATCAACAAACTCATCAACAATGAGTGATCAACATGAAGACGTAACTGCTGGGTGGTTATGTTTTGTTGCCGCTAATTTAGGGATTTTATAATTTCTTGTGGATAAGTTTTCTAGATAGTAGGAGTAAGTGGATAACACAATTTCTTGTAACCGCCATTAGAAAGTTATTTGTTTATTTGAATTCACCGCTATATGTAACCGTCAATTGTGGGTTATAAATAACCACGTCATGCTCTTTGTAAAGCCTCTCAATTAATGAAAGAGTTTTCATCCAATTGAAAGCCTTAACGAATTTCAAATTGAATAATTTCAATTTTTGATTAAAGATTAGGATGTCTACTTCAACTTTTACTCGGATCACTTTTCCGTAAAAATCGTTGAACACCTAAAGGTCAAAATAGCTACGAATTTTCAGAAATCATTCAAACATTCAACTCATGATCCTATGCATTCATCTAAGCCTATAACACATTCAACTAAGTTATATGAAAATTCAAGTATATATTCAAACATTCAAACATCAAAGTTTAACATCCATCACACAATTGAATCGCAAACCTCAAAGAATCGTCATGAAACTATCTAAAATTGCTCCTAAATCATCGTCCATGTAACATAGATCATCTTAGGAACAATTGACATCCAAATCATCATCAAGTTCATGCTCTAAGAGATTTGGCTAAGTAGAGGTAGCAAAGGAACTGATGCTATTCAAGTTCAATTAGCTTGGATTAGGCCTAATTCCTAAGGATTTTTGAACTAGAACACCTAAACATGGAAGATCTACTTGAATTAACAACCAATCAACTAGAATCACATCAAATTCAACTTGAGGAAGTCTGGGCGAACAAGGAATTGAGATCCTAAAGTCACCTAAATATGTAATTGACTTTTGATTTTATTAAACAATCCTAAGTTTATAAGCAATTTCATGTTAATTTCACCAAATTCCATCATATCCTAACTTAAGATTGATCATAATCTGAAAATATTACTTCAATTTTATATTATGATCAACCTAAGTATTCTAGGATAATCCTTTGGAATTGTAATAGACATTTGATTTCCTATTGTCAATTAGAATCGCTGGCAAGGAAAGAAATTGGCCAAATTGGAAGACTTCGAACGATGGCTGTGGGTGGCAACCACCACAGATGACTCGAGAACACACCAAGGAAGCCAGTCGCAAGTTGATACTAGTGGCTAGATGGCGGGAAATGGCCGGAAAGTGGCTGGAATCTTACCGATGAGAAGACACCAAAGAGAGGAATTAAGAGGGAGAGCTCTTTTTGTGTTCTTCCTAAAGATTTTTTTTTTTTTTGAAATTTTTTTATAAGAAGGGCTAAATTAGTGTCAAAATTCAGACCTAGTGATTATGAGGGAAAAATTAAATTTTGAACCAATCCTAGCCCTACAACTCACCTTATGATCTTATGGTTGAAATTATTTGTGTAATGATTAAGGAAAGAGGTGATTGACCCTTCTTATGTCACATGGACGGGTGACATCGCACATCCTAAGGTCTAGATTAGAGAGGAAATGCATGGCCAAGATTGATGCTCTTAAGGATTGATGACATAGAATTTAATTTTAATAATTTAGAGAAAGTGGTATTTTTGTAATTTTAAGGAGATGGGGTCGGCCAAGTGGTCTTGTGGGCTGAATGGGCCGACTTCTTTGGTTGACTGGGGTCAACCTTGGTCCAACCGGATTGACCGGGTTGACCCGAGACTTCCAAATTTCTTATTTATCTTCAAATCACCTCATGAGCTAGACCATCTTTGTTTGTTCGGCCCACTAGGCCGAACCAAGTCGGGTTGAACCGACCCTACTCCGTCAATCCCAATTCGTTGCTTTATGCTCACTTCCTCGAATTATCCTAATTATGTCTAAATTGATATTGAAATTGGATTAATTTGGCCTCATAGGGTGTAAAATGTGCTCCTTGATTTTCTTGTGAAAAGTCAACCATGGCTCTTCGACAAAAAAAAAAAAGCATGGCTTTAAACTTGAATTTGAAGGTTGACTAACCTGTTTAGGCTTGAAACCTTGAAATTTGCTTGGCATCTTGAATTTTCGTAGTCCCTGGATCAAATGTCCAAAAGAGGAATCAAATCAACGAATTTTGGGAATTTTTTTTTAATCAATGGTCAAAGTATTCAATTTTAAGAATAAAATTGATGTCTTTTTATGATTTTGAGTTTATACCACGAAAAATCCCAAACTGATACACCCGTTATTCCAAACTAATTTTTTTACCACCAAAAACTCCAAACTGGTACACCTGTGACAAATTTACCCTTCGTTAGTTTTCATTAAATTTTAATGTCAAATTGCATTGTTAAATGGCACGCTACAGTTGATGGATGTACCAATTTTGGATTTTACCCTCCATTATTCATAGGTATACCTATTTGTGATTTTCTGTGGTATTAATCCAATTTAACGGAAACTAACATAGGGTAAATTTATCACAAATGTATCAGTTTAGGGTTTTTGGTAATCAAAAAATTAGTTTGGGGTAAATTTATCACAGGTGTATCAATTTGGGAGTTTTCGTGATCTTAATCCTATGATTTTCACAAATTTTGTAAAGTGTTGACCAAGAGTTGACTTTTTAGATTTGACCAAAAAGTCAACCTTGGATCGATACATAAATGTAAATAAAATGGGATGCTCATAACCTTTATATACAAATGGGACCTAAATGACTTTTTGGCTGAGAAACGGGTCATGTCATGATCAAGAATCTCAAATCTCACGTTTTAACTTTAGGGAAAAAACCACCAAAAACCCCAAACTTTCTCACTTGTGACACATTTACCCCGAACTTTTTTTTGTGACACCAAAAACCCCAAACTTTGTTATTTGTGACACATTTACCCCGATATACATTGTCTATGGGCATTTTCGTCTTTTTAGCTTTTTCTTTTTCTTTTTACTTTTTTTTTCTTTCGGCGAGGGCCCTCGCCGCGTCAGCGAGGGCCGCCCTCGCCGATCCGGCGAGGCCGCCCTCGCCGCGTCGGCGAGGCTCGCCCTCGCTCGCCCGAGCGAGGGCGAGCGAGGCGAACCTCGCCGGCGTCAGCGAGCCTCGCCCTCGCCCGGGCGAGGAGGGTGAGGAGGGCGAGGCTCGCCGGCGTCGAGCGAGCCTCGCCCTCGCCGGGCGAGCGAGGCGAGGCTCGCCCGACGCCGGCGAGGCTCGCCTCCTCGCCCAAGCCTCGCCGGCCTCGCCCTCCTCGCCCGGGCGGGCGAGGCTCGCCGGCGTCCGGGCGAGCCTCGCCCTCCTCGCCCGGCCTGGGCGAGGAGGGGCGAGGCTTGCCCTCGCGGGCGAGCGAGGCGAGGCTCGCCGGCGTCGGGCGAGCCTCGCCCCTCGCTGGGGCGAGGAGGCGAGGCTCGCCGGCGTCGGGCGAGCCTCGCCTCGCCGGCGAGCGAGGCGAGGCTCGCCGGCGTCGGGCGAGCCTCGCCTCGCCCTGGGCGAGGAGGGCGAGGCTCGCCGGCGCCGGCGAGCCTCGCCTCGCTCGCCCGAGCGAGGCGCGAGCCTCGCCGGCGTCCGGGCGGGCTCGCCTCGCCTGGGCGAGCGAGGGCGAGCCTCGCCGGCGCCGGCGAGGGCGGCCCTCGCCGGATCTGGCGAGGGCGGCCCTCGCCCGACGCCGGCGAGGGCCCCCCTCGCCGGATCCGGCGAGGGGCCCTCGCCGGAAAGAAAAAAAAAAGTAAAAAGAAAAAGAAAAAGCTAAAAAGACGAAAATGCCCATGGACAATGTATATCGGGGTAAATGTGTCACAAATAACAAAGTTTGGGGTTTTTGGTGTCACAAAAAAAAGTTCGGGGTAAATGTGTCACAAGTGGGAAAGTTTGGGGTTTTTGGTGGTTTTTTCCCTTAACTTTATTAGACCTGTCAGCGAAAATTCAAATGTCAACAACTACAATATAAACTCGCATTCTCAACTTGCAAAAGTAGCAATTCTAATCAACTATGTAAATGTGAGGCACAAATCAAGATCTTTCCAAGAGAGAGTACATATGTGACTCCTCTCTCTCTCTCTCTCTCTCTCTCTCTCTCTCTCTCTCTCTCTCTCTCTCTCTCTCTCTCTCTCTCTCTCTCTCTCTCTCTCTCTCTCTCTCTCTCTCTCCAAAAATAATCTTATGTAGGATTTATTTTGTGAACTTTGCTCTGTCCAAACTCCTATTATAATATCTCATCTGGGACCATTATTTCTTATATAGTATGGTTTTTATGTGTCATCGTTCTATGTGTCTTTTGTGTAGCAGACAATATCAGCAATTTTCCCGTGAGGTAACCAAAGGGTCCATACATTGAGCTCTCTGCCATCGAACAACTTGCCATATACCATACAAAATTATTTGCTTCCCAGGGATAATGCAAGGAGTACCCATGATTCACCTCTTATATAGTTGAAGGCCCACTTTCGACCAAAAAAATAAAAAAGGCCCACTACAAAAAAAAATGGCAAAATATTATGGATGATATTAATTCTCATGCTCTTTTGGATCAAATACCTTATCTATTCCACAAAACTACAAAGAAAAAAAATAGCAACTGGCCATGTCACATGCCACAATGCAAAGAACAAGAGCCAACAGATGAAATTGACACAATGGGAAGTACTTCACTGAACAAATTTCTGCTGAGCTAATGGTTCATTAAGTACAGTTATTGATCATACGGTGAAGCGCGGATATACCAGCGAGAGTGCTAGCATTGAAAAGATTAAGAAAAAGATGGGCAATGGGAGAGCGCGCAACGACGAGCTGTCGGAGATTTCCGAGGAATCGACCGCCAGGGGCATCCCATCGCTGTTGAGCGTGCACGACTGAGGGTCAGAGGAGCTTTCCTCGGTCATCATGAGGGCCCGTAAGACCGCGGAGACGGTGTGGATGTAGGCGGCTCGGTTCTTGGCGAGGAGCCACGTGAGGCCCATCAGCTGGCAATCCTTGTTGTGCATCTTGGTGGTCCTGTCCTCCTCCAGTTTACTTGAATCTGAAGTGTTCTTGTTGAGCTGAAAATAGAAGAGATGGCCACTCATTGGACAACAAAGGAACATTGTTTGGTGCATCGAGGATTAAATACTCCAATTAAGTAGGTGCGACATCGAAATCAGAGTCAATTTCATGCCTTTTACCTAACTAACGGGTCGCATAAATTATCAAATCTAACCAATCAACTGAAGCTGATAGGAAAGAAGCTATTAAGCAGACAACACTTAAGCTTTAAGCTATGATAAAGACATGTTTGAAGCCCTTCTTTTGTTTGTTCCTCTCTCCTTTTCCCCTTCACAGTTAGGGATCAATAGAATTTGCATGAATGATCCATCTCTACAAGAGACTGGAGATTGATACATTATCATTTGAAAAACCCGACTAGGATCCAAAATTGGCCGTCGATATAAGAATTAGTAATTGAAGGTGCAACAATATTCTGAGGCAGGGTCATCAATGTGCCTTCTATACCGGTACAGAATGAGATCAAAACAGACTTAAAGCAGAGTCTTTGGCAACACAATATTCTGATTCATTTCTTGATCATTGAGGCTACATGCAATTACTCGACCTTCTCTAGTTTCTTTACTAGTAATTTCTTCGAAAGGGGCTCGAAAGTAATGTCTCAAAGCATATTGAAGATCACATTTTTGGGTAATCTTAGAACCTATCTTGAGCAATTAGCCTATTGCAGCATGCATAAGTCCAACCAGACTCTAGTACTAACTCAGTAAGCTCTAGACATTCTTGCATGATGCCACTCAGGCTCTCACCACCTAAATTGTAGAAAATGTAAGAAAAAGAAACAAACTTTACCAAACCCATTTGCATTCCAGAGATACCCAACAATCGAAATCGAAATCACAAATTTAGCAAATTTGAGACTCTGCTAAAATGACTGACCTGATAGAGACTGTTCAAGCACTTGGAGCACCCGCCGAGACCCGGAAACCCGTTCCCGCTCTGGCAGTCTCGCTCCAGCCTCCTCACGCTCTCGTCCCCGACCAGCTTCCCTTCCTGGGTCACCGAGAACACCCCGGGGCAGCTCAGGGGATGCAGCCTTATGCCGCAGTAGCAGTAGACGACGTCGCACGTCTCGTTCGGCCTCGCCAGCTCCACCCCTCTCTCCCTGAACGCCTTCCCAAGCCCGTCCACGCACGTCTCCGAGTCGTCCGGGAGCAGCGGCATGTCGTACGCCGGGGTCCGGCCCCCCGCCGCCGCCGCCGCCGCCACGGCGCCACTGCCCAGGGCGGTGGAGGAGTAGGCGGAGTAGAGCCACGCGGCCAGCACGGGGCAGCACCTGGTGCGGTGGAGCTCCCCCCACGACCCGGAGCCGCCGCCGCCGCAGGCGGACCGGACCCCGCGGAAGAGCTCGTCAGGGAGGTCCAGGGGGCAGCCCGCCGCGTCGGACTGCTCCGGGAAGGCGGGGATGGTGGCGGGCGGTGATGGGTTCACATGGAATGGCTGGACAATGGCCGGCTCCGGGTCCGGGTAGCGTGCGGCGGCGAGAGCCGGCAAGAGTATGGAGAGGAGCAGGATCGAGATCAAGGAGGAGGGAGACAATGGTGGATTGAGGGACATTGGTAGAGAGAGAAAAGGAAGAGATCGAGAGAGAGAGAGAGAGAGAGAGAGAGAGAGAGAGGAGGAAGAAGGAGAGCTTCTATGGAGCTTTTGCTTTTGTGTGCGCAGGAGAGGGGTCGATGATGGAGTGCAAATTGATAAAAGGTGGTGAAAAAGGAGAGAGAGAGAGAGAGAGGAGACAGGATGGTGGGGTTTGAGTAAGTCTTGGGAAGCTTTGCTTTCACTTGCTGTGATAATGCTTGGAGTATTTAGTGCACCAGTCACTCCTAACAACAATGGCAGCCTAGCAGTGAAAAAAGGAGTTCCTGACCAACTTGTTAAGCATACATAGAATTTAGGAATATCTTAATTTTGAAGACAACATCAAGTTGAAGATGTAAACTTCAAATGCAAAATATTAAATTTGAGTATCGGTTGCAGGACTAATATTGGCCGATTATCGCGACGTATAGTGGATGCATTAAACATTTGTTTTCTCTAACCGCAGGTTCAAATTCAAGTAGTATCTTGCAAGTTGTCATTTGTGGGGGGAAGATTAGAAGGTAGTAGCATCATGGAGAAATCACTCATGAAAGCATCGGCTGGTTTGGATAGGGTGGGAGAGAATCTTGATACCAAGCCATGCTTATGGAGACCTTTTTTAGCCATTTTCGGGTTTCCATATGTTCACATTAAACAGATTTAGCGTAATGATGATAGTATGTTTCCTACTTGTAAAGCCGGCCAAAAACTTGGATGATGAATGTCAAGAGATTGATCGAGTAATTAAGCATTTGGTTCGAAAGCGATAAATTATATGTACCTAGAGCACAGCTTCTCAGACTCATAATATGGATAGACTCTTATCCAATGCACGTGGATAGTATTGGGGTGTGGTTCATACTCCATATCGACAGAAAAGTACGAGAGTCTCGTTCCCAGGTGAGCAAGGGTCAATGGGGGTCGTCTCGGCGAGAGTCACCCCAAACCGTCAAAGGGCTTTTATAGTTGGGCTCATATTTTATTGACAGTTTGGGCCTTGACCTATGAATAGCTACTGTGCTGCATAAATATAATCTTTTTCTCTTGCAATTGAGAGTTGTAACAGAGAGGTGGGAGATAACCCTAGTTTAAGGGTGAATCAAGATAAACACTTTATCTCGATTTCTGTTTCTCGCATTTACTCTCTAATCAGTTGTGTCTGTGCGGGTAATCCTAACAGATTGAGCAATTTACATGCATACGTAGGAACTAGCGGAGTTGAAGATTTGAACGCTCCGTGCCATTAGAAAAGGAAGAAGAAATAAACAACTTGGATGAAATAGTGCAGTTTTTGTTCTTTAAGTGATGGGATTAGTTTAATCACTCTTTTTTAAGGCCATAGAGTCTTAATTTTACGATTTGCTATTTGGCACATTCTATGCATGTTGGAATTCACGAGAACACTCCCCAATTCACACCTGTTACAGTTTCAGTCGCCTTTACAATCGGTCCAAGGACATTATCGTTGATGAATACATGTGCTCTTTTCACTTTCAATTGAATATCCATCAAAGGCTATTGTCATGTGGGATTTTCTATCAAACGTTAACAAATGATGAGATTTGAGGGCTATAGTTTAGCTTATATCATTAGCTAGCTCGCATCTGTGGGTCATGTCATTTTTTCTACTATTGAATATGTCACGCACTTATGTACAATTGCCAATGTGGGTATAGGGAAACAGCTCATTTGATTGCGAATATAAACCGTATGTTTAAACACCCATTAGCAAATTCGAATTTTGTTTTGTCCTTTTTATCTTCCTCATCAGAATTACATCGATTATCTTGAAGAGAGTAACTATGCGCACGTACTTCTTTATGTCGCGGCCAGAAATCACACAAAATGACGAAGACCGAGATAGATGTTCGTATATATTAAAATCATCTTTTGTCTTGGTCAATTATCACAACCGACCGATCCATAAATATGTTGAATTCACTAGTCTTCGCAGGAAATGAAACTCTTTGTCGAGAGTAGCCCCCATGTTAATTCGATTGTTTTACCCGAGTGGTAAGATTAGTCAGATATTTCATGAATCCGAAATTCATCTATCTAGGTAGGACCGAAATCTTTTTTCAATTCTTCACGAGACTCGGTGTTCGTTTGAGACAAAAGCCCTGAGAGGTCCACACCAACATGCTCGGCTGGCGAAATGGACAGAAGAGCCTTGCCATGGTTTGTTAGTCTTGTGACAAGACTTCGTGGCCACGCTTCGATATATGCCAAAGAAAAGGAAGAGAAGATGTTCCCCTATAGATAAAAAAATAATAATAAGTACGGATGGTATCCTAAGATAGTAAGTCTTTTATTGTGATAGTAATTTTTCCAATGTAAAAACTTAGTGTTAGTAGCTTTCATTACCACGTAAGCTTAAAATAATCCTAGGTAGAGATATAAATAAGTTCCTATTATATTATGTTGTGCTTGTTGTTCTAATTTGTGGAAAATTACCTAACCTTTCGTACGGAAGGCCAATTCAATCCTAAACTTTCCTATTTTACTACTTTAGTCATAAATATTTGCGCGAAATTTCCAATATAGTCATTCCAGTCAATGTTCGCTAGAAATTACTAACGAAGCGGTCCAGTCATCGTCGGCCATCCTACGCGGCACACTGCCATGTTCGCGATTTCCAGCGAAAGTTGGTCAGAAGGACTACAATCAAAATTTCGCACAAAGGATTGAGGCTAAATTGAAAAAATCGGAAAGTTACGATTGAATTGGCATTCGTATAATAGGTTTAAGACTGGTCGGAAAATTTCCCCTTATAATTTTGGGATAAGGGCTTTGGTGAAAGAAAGATTTTGGGATGGGGGTTTCCGGCAAAGTATGTGATCATAGTACAAATAGTCCCATACTTTATACTAATCAGAATATAATACTATAGTTCTATGGTAAACAATTCGGTGGAGATTCCCTAAAATCGATGAACAACTCTTAAAAAATGCTTATATGGTCATAGGTCATATGTTCACTGACAAAGATAATTGGTTCGGAAGCTTTTGGATTTTAGTAGTGTGACTCAGAGATCTTTTTTTTTTCGGTTAAAATCGGAAAAATAAAAAAGAGAATTTCGTAATTAATAAATTACAACGCTAGGCGCAGGCATTCTTTTTTTTTTTTTTGGTCAGAAGGCGCAGGCATTCCACTAACAATATTCTTCTGTCCGTTTTGAATTTCGAAAAGATTGAACTAGAAATACATGAAAAAGATGCATCATTGGAGTAGGGCCTCCTCAGTAACAAACAATGAATTGAGTCCTTTTATGTAAAATTCCTTTTATTCGAGTAATGGTAATATATCCAATATCAATTAAGCTTTTAGGTTGGAACTTGTTAACAATAATTCCAACCCGTCATTCTGCGAAGAAATTTTTTTTTTATGTTTTATGTGGATGAAGTATTTTGCATGCATTTCTCGAAACGAGTCGGAATTTTAGATATATATCCAACTATTAAATAAAAGGATTAATACCACAAAACAATTCCATATCGGTACACTTGTGTAACTTTTAACCAAACTAATTTTCATATCACAAAAAAAAAAAAACCGGTACACCCTTGACAAATCTAATCTCCGTTATCCAATATTCCCATTGCTAATGTGGAAACACACGTAACAAATAACTTGGATGATCAATGTGTGACGTGGATCCAATGTAGTAGTTCAATAGATACGAGTCTCCTAAACAATATCGTTTTGGGAAAACCAGATATGAAGAAAACGAAATAAGATTGGGAAATTTCCTAATTTTTCCACAAGAACTTACTCATATTTCCAAAATCTACTAAAATCCCTAATTTTGTCCTAAGATTTTGGTAGATTTGTCGTGGGTGTGCCAACTTTGGATTTTTTTATGACATAAAAATTAATTTGGGGTAAACGTGTCCCGAATATACTAATCTGAAATTCGTTGTGGCATTAACTCTAACTAGAAAGAGATACTTTATATATTGTGTCCTAAAAGGAGCATAAAAGGTATTTATTTTCCCTCTGACAATGCAAGTAGCAGAATTAGGTTAATGTAGACTCCGAAATTCGAGCTAGCTTTTGGAAAGATAAATGGAAATTCAAGCTAAGCTAAAAGTGGGCACGCATGCGCTTGAGCCTAAAGTTACTCCTGTTCTCTCCTTTTTCAGTTTACCCTGAAAAACTTTTCATTGTTTTCTTTTCTTTATGCAAATTCGTGATGAACTCATGATTTATATGAATTGCTTTTAACTCGAGAGGGCTCCTCAATGAATGTGTGGTTCAACTCGTTTCGTGCCTAGTAGTAGTAGTAGCCTGCTGCCATTGAATGTATCTTGGCCTCTTTGTCACGAAAAAAAAGTGACGCTATTGACGTACATTATTGCTGAGATTTATTATATCGATTTATTGTATGAAGTCAGTCGAGAAAGAGAAGATCTTGACATAACTTTGGTTTTAATGTTTCAAGTCGGATTCTACCTTAGCAATATTCAACTGAGACTTCAATAAAAGAAAAAGGAGGAAAATTACACAGAAGTCTTTCGAACTTAGATTTCGTTTGTTTTGCGAAAAAAATTTCAAGAAAACATTTTTCAAAAAGTCATTTTCCAAGAAAATGATAGTATTTTTCAATATTTGGCTAAATTATGAAAATAAATTGGAATAATTTTCCATTGTTTGGAAAGGAAATTTGATTTGATTTTCCTAAAGGAACATGCACTATTCGTGAATTATAAGGGATACACACCCTTTGGGCTCTTGATAGGAGCTAGGGTTTGTTGGGTTCAATGACTAGGAACTCGAGTAGGGAGTTAGGGATGCGAGCCCGGCCTTGATGGACTCGAGCCCAAGTGCCGGTGAGTTGGGCACGAGAGCTAGGTACTCAAGCATGGTCACTAGGGACTTGTGCACGGGCACCGGGGTCTTGGGCCTGGCCTTGAGTGACCCAGGCCCAGCCTATATGGACTAAGCCCGATTGCCCAACCTTGATGGACTCGAGCCCAAGTGCCGATGAGTTGGGTACGGGAGCTAGGTACTCAAGCATGGTCACCAAGGACCTGGGCGCGGGCACCAAGGTCTTGGGCCTAGCCTTGAGTAACCCGGGCCTAGCCTTGAGTAACCCAGGCCCAGCCTATATGGACTAAGCTTGATTGCCAAAGAACCAAGCCCAAGAGCCAGTGATTTGAGTGTG